GGCAGGCAGGCAGGCAAGCAGGCAGGCAGGAAGACAGGAAGGAAGGCAGGAAGGCAGGAAGGAAGGAAAAAGAAGGAAGAAAGAGAAAGAAAGGAAATAAAGAAATGAAGGGCACGAAGTTTATAACTCTTATGACAGTAGGACGAGGCTTGATTTTACTGGTTACCCTGAAAAATCATGTTAAAGCTGAGTCATGTACTTTTATTCCCTTTGGGTGAAAAATTGAATGTCGATTTCATTTTGACCACCTTTACTCCATAGCATACACATTTTGATGTAACTATATCATTCATTTTAACTTCATTCATTGACCAAGTCCATTCATAATATCAGAATTTGTTTGCCTTCATGTTGGGCATATTTCAAAAACAAGCCACTGATGACCAAGGGCTCTATATTCACTTTTGCTTACAATGAGCTATGATAGATTTGAATGCTATGTTTTGGAATTGGCATCCCAAACATATTACTGCATGAATCTTCATGTTTCTGAACCATATAGATGTATTGATTGGTCTTATGAATTCTTAGTCCATGAGGATGTATTAGACCTGGAATTTTTTATTTACTATGATGTGCTAGTCCATTAATTGGGAGAAAGGAAACAGAGAAAGAAAATAATGTCATTTTTCCTTCTTGTAGAGAAAGTTTCCTATATAGCTCCTTTCATAATGTCATAAATAAATCTACACACATAGAAAACTCCTCTTCCCACCAGTACACATTTTTCTCATTTTCATTTCCAAAATCCCAACAGGAAAGTTAGAAAGGGATGCCAATACTTATTAACAAAGCCCTACACATCATAGATATATGAGACATTCAACTGTTATTTCTGTTGTTAATTTTTGTAGAAAGTTTTGGCTATACTAGGGTTTGAACCCAGGATCTTGCAATTGCTGAGCATTCCCTGTACCACTTGAACCATACCCATGGACCTTTTTGCTTTCACTCTTTTTCAAATAGGGTCTCTTCTCTCCTTACCCCATGTTCACCCCAGTCAGGCCTAGACCATGATTTTTCTAATTACTTTCTACATAGCTAGGGTGACATGCACAGGCCAATATGCCCAGTTTTTTATTGGTTGAGATGAGGTCTTGTATTCCCTGGCTGGTTTTGAAATATAATCTTACCAATCGCCACCTCTTAAGTAACTAGTATTACAGCCATTAACCACCATACCCAGCAAATACATGAATTTTAAATTAGTGATGGCTTGGGATAAAACCATTAGTGTTTTGCCCGCTAAGTCACAGCAGAATCAGTAGTGTTGGGAGACTAATAAAAGTGAATTTGGCTGAGAGTTGATCTTGTAGAATCTCAAGAATCTCAACTATCAAATCATATCACATAAGTGCCTAACACCTCTACCTATATACAATTAAAGAAAGGAAACATTCTCACAATCACTTGAATTACTCTGTTACCACCGATGGCAATAATATCTATTACTTGTTCTTTTCACATAAATGAATGCCAACCTATGAGGACTATTAGTCTTTAATATCACAAACAGAGAATGTTGTATTTCAAAATACTCATTAGGTGATTTTTCAATTTGTAATTCAAAGAAGATATTATTCTCAGCATGAAAAAATGTTATCATGTCGATATAATTTGTGGATGGGATGGGGAAAAACAAGTCGTTTAAGGATACAGGTGGACCCATTGCAACTATGAGAAGTACAAGTTGTCATGTCGAAAACAAACTTTACAACTTTGGTGCGGGGCGGGGGGGGGGGCTGGGGGGGGGGGCAGGGGGAAGCTGGGAAGGGATGTGAAGGGTAAACAAAGGAGGAGGCTACAATGCTTGATAAGAAATGTGCTCATTATCTTGCCCATGTAATTGTAACCCCTCTGTACAGTATGTTCACAAAAAATAAAAATTAAAAGAAAAAAAAAGAAAAATGTTATCATATAGAGGTCCCCTATGACACAGCAATCCTACTTTTGGGCTTTTACCCAAATGATCACAAACAAGGCCACACTAAAGCTACCAGCACGACTGTGTTTATTTCAGCATTATTCACCATAGCTAAGATATGGAACCAAGCCAGATGCCCCTCAGTAGATGAATGGATTAAGAAAATGTCGTATATATACACAATGGAATTCTATGCCTCCATCAGAAAGGATGACATTACCCCATTTGTTAGGAAATGGAAAGACTTGGAAAAAATTATATTAAGTGAAGTAAGCCAGGCCCAAAGAAACTTAGGTCCCATGGTTTCACTTATTTGCAATAACTAGTATGTCTGAGTCAAGCAGAAAAGGTCAATTAAGTTGATGTTAGGGAAATGAACCCTAAGATATGTATTCAAATGTTTTTTTTTTCTTTCAGGTGATTGTTTCTAACACATTTATAAGATGATTTCTTTGTTGCTTTGTATGTCCCTCCCCCATGGTATAACCCCTGCTTTCACTGTATTTGATGTTGGTATAATTTGTGGAGGGGAAGGGAAAAAACAAATCGTTTAAATAGGGATACAGGTGGATCCATTGCAACAATGAGATATACAAGTCGTTTTGTGGAAAAACGAACTTTACAACTTTGGTGGGGGGGGAGGATTGGGTAGAGGGGCAGGGGGGAGGATGGGAAGGGATGGGAATGGGAAACAAAGGAGGAGGCTAAAATGCTTGATAAGAAATGTACTCATTATCTTGCCCATGTAGTTGTAACCCCTCTGTACAGTAATTTCACAATAAAAAATAAAAACTAAAAAAAGAAAAAATGTTATCAGTAGATTGCTAGCCATTAACATATAAAGACAGATGGAAAAATGTTGTATATATATATATACATATACACACATACATATATATAAGTATGTATGTATATATAGATTTATATGTGTACATATAGATATATATGCCTCATGATAACCTCTGAATTCCACTTATAGCTTGATCCATACATGTCTAGAATATAAATATATGCATTTTATAAATAAATTTGCTTTAACATATGTACAGAGAATTGAAAATAAGTCAAAAGACTGAGATAAGTAATTGTTGCCATTGTTTCTAAAAGTATTTATTTTCATAAACAAGGTTGTGGGTTGACATTTTGAAAATGTAAGTGGTGACCTTTACAGAAATTCTTCTTCACATAATTATTATCTCAGAGACTTATTAGGCACATAAAAGGGAGATAAGTTGTAAGATGGTGTCAATGGTCATCTAAATGTTATATAGGAAGGCAGAAGCATTCTTGGAGAGAAGGCATGAATGACTGTTGACTTAGCATGTAGGACACATTGTGGCCAAAACACAAACCTAGGAGAATCCTGTGGGACTTTGGAGATCCTTCCCATGACAGGTAACTTTTAAAAGTTGCATGCTTAAATGCTAGCAATGTAACAGGAGCCATTTTACTATAAGTCATTTGTAAATGTTTTCTAAGAAGTCCCAAATCAATCTGTATGCAAACTAGGAACATCTAAGTAATAATCCTTTTATCGAAGAATGCTATCTCCACATTTTTAGCTGAATTGTGATCCATATCACAGACTGAATAATAGACTTCTTAATGATATCTTCAAAAGGATACCCTAATAATCCATCACTCTGATATATCTTCAAGTACAGAAAATACCTTCTTGCTTTCTTACCTCCTGTTATATTTATTGCATTTCAAAGCTCTTGGTAGACTTTAAAGAATTTTATTGTAAAGATGATGTGCAGAGGGGTTATAGATACATAGGTAAGGTCATGAGTACATTGCTTTTTGAACAGTGTTATCCCCTCCTTAATGAGGCCAAGGTCAGGGGAAGCAGTTTGTTTGCACTGTGTATTGACCACAGGCTAACCAGAATCAGTCAAGAGATGCTAACAAAAGATGAGAAAGGCACCTCAGAACTTCTCAAGCCATCTTCCCCCTGTGACAGGCAAGATGTATTTCTTGGGCATCATCACCTTAGAAAAAAGATTAAAAAGGCCCAAACATATAGCCACTGCACAAAGCAGGCCTGACAGGCATTAACCTTGCAGTATGATCCCCTATCTTACCATTGATTTGCTGTATAACCTTCATCACTAAAGCAGAGATAATAGGATGGAATAAAATGGGCTTACCTCCCGGGGATGTTATGTGAATTAGCAAATTAACAAGTGTAAAGTGTTAGCATTTATGTAAATGCTGCTGGTGGTTATTATTTCTAGGGACCTTCTCTCATTTGAGATAGAGAATCTAAGTATATAATGGTTTTGTCAGAAAGGGATTTTTCACCCACATCAACTGCATTTAAGCTGAGCATAAAACAGAGGTGATAATAATATAGTAGTTATCATCACAATGCAGAGCTGTAAACCTTTTTCCTATTAAAGCAAAAACTATTTTCAGCAACTTTCAATGCTTTTAAACTTTGCTTTCCAAGCTTTGTGCCAACAGTTATCTCTGCAGTGATTATTCTTCCTGTGATGGGTGGGGCCTATTCTAGGTTCCATTTATTATTCATTCCCATAATGACTATATGATGTATTGAATTTGTTTAATTCATACAATCAGGCAAATTCAGTAGCTGCTTTGATTGCCATATTATACAATCATTGTAAAAAAAACAAACAACTCTTTTCTGATCTGCCCAAACTGGTGTCCTCTAAAGGTAACCAACATAAAACTGAAAACTCACAGGGAATTGAAGTGCTTTCTAACAAAAGGCAATGAACATAGATCCTTTCAATTTAACATCTTTACCAAGGAATTTTGTTGTTGCCTGATATTTCCAAGGGGACTGTACTTGAGAGAATTCTTCTATTTATTTTATCACTCTGACTTTGCTTACCAAGAAAAGTCATTTATTGCTGATTGCAGAACTCTTGAACTCAGCCAGACAGCTGCAGTGTGAACTCCTCAGATCTGGGCTCCTTGTTGCTTATTTACACATTCATTTAAGTGATTTTTCAGGAATGTTTGAAAACCTCCTTTCACTTGACATCCTGAAATAGCCAAGATCTGAAGCTCACTACGTTTTTTGGTTCTTTTCCTTTTTGTCTTACAGATAACAGACGAGTACCTTTGGAAAGGTCACGCTCTCGCCACAATGGAGGAGCCTTGTCATCTAAGTGATTGCTGATACCAAAGAATATGAAATTATTTAAGTAAACAAAATCAGATAATTTGAGAAGAACAAAACATGCACTCAAGGGTTGGAGTCAACTAAATGCATTTCTGTAAAGTTAAGCCAAGCTGGATAAAGTAGTGTGTGTTTGTAAACAGTACTCCTCCCACAATTATACTAATTTGAGCACAACTGTCATGGTTATAACATTTACACTTAAGGGTAATGCTATATATTAGTTGTCATTGTGTAACCTGGCTCTGAAGAGGAAAGTATTAGAAATTGAAGAGTTCTAAGGCTTTCAAAAACATTCAATCTGTCAAAAAATTTAAATCTGATATGGCTGGGTCACGCCGGCTCTACTCCCCCAAAACAACAAGAAGAGTAAGAAGCAAGAGAACAAAAGAAATAGAATTATTTAGCATCTGCTTCTACCATTTATTATGTATCTAAAAGGAAAAGGTCTAGAAAGATATTCATGTTAATGTTTTGAAAAGGGGCTCATATTGCCCACCATTTGGGGATTTCAACAAACATACTGTTCTACCCAAGCCAAATTATTTAGAATCTTGTCACAAGTGAAAACTGATGGATTCATTTACTTTGGCTGAAAGTAAACTTATCATTAGTCTAGTTTTCCAGCATGATATTGCAGGCACTTGTCATTGCTAAAAATAAACCAAAGTTTAAAGAATTAGTTAGGGAAAATGATTTAAACCTTAAAGAAGTATTTTCTAATTATGCATAGATATCTAGTTTATACTAATACTTTATATTGCTATTTTAAGAGGAAAAACCTACATTTTAATGTTTATGCTAGAGATGAACCTGAAAATTCTAATACCTTTATTTAGATTTTAAAGAAAAACACTGAGTCCTATTTTGTGGTGTTTTTTTTCCTCCCTATTCTTTCTCCCTTGACCCACTTGAAGGGAGTGGAGAGAGTTCTAAAAGACTTGAGAGGAAACAGATTTCTTATGAAGGAGGCAATAAAAGGTGAATTGTTTTTCTCCCTTTTTACTCCCCTTGCCTACTTGAGTGATCTGAAGAAGAAATTCTATGTATGTATGTATATATGTTTGCATATATTTATATCTCTCTATATATCTTTGCAGTGATTCCATATCTCAGTAACAAGTGAATTTCTCAGTCATCATCATATTTACTTACTTTCTATTAACAAATTTAACAATGTTGCTATAATAATTCTCAGAAGGAAAACAAGCTCAACATTTTTTTAGTTGAGAGAGTGAAAGTTTTACTTAACATGTCTGTAAGTTGAAAATACATGTTGAAATAATTGCTATATGTTCTCTAGAGTATAATTTTAAGACTAATTCATGCAGAATATTGTGATTACTGTAAAAGATTTTTGTATCTATATTTCTTATATAGAAAATCCTGTTTTTACTTCTCTAAAGAGCATTATAGACATTTGTACCCAAGAACAATGGCTAGTTTAAAAAGTCACCATCTGAGATAATATAAACAAGTGACCACTAGTTCTGATTCTTAACTCTGGAGTTGTTACATTAGAGAAATCAAATAGTAACAATATCTGAAATTTTCCATTTTTCTTATCTAAAAGCATACATGCACATACTTGCATGAACACATGCACATAGACACACAAACATGTTTAAGGACGTATCAATTTTGTGCACTCTTTTTATTAACAACTAACACAAAGGTTAGGTTCCATTAATTTATGTAAATATCTATTGCATTTTGAATTCACAAAGTCTTTTATGAGGTCTTTGTGGTATTTCATATTTGAGGCTCTTAATAACTTTTCATGTTATAGAAAAACACCTCAAATTGGGGGTATTTGCCATGCGATATTATCAAGTTGGTCAAGGTAGAAATACTGATGTTTATATCACCTTTTCTGGATGTGAACTTGCCTTATTTTCTAGCTTGTGAAGAAGTAAGAATGGAGCACTATTATTGATAAATTATGCATTTGTATTTCAAGCAATTCCACATGCTTTTCACAAACATCAAAAGCCTTTCAGAGCCTAATTAAAATGTTTGCTCATTTGGTATAGATCTCTAATCACTTGCAGTTTTGTTTTACATTGAAAATTATCACCCATATTTAGCATAGGACTAAATCTTACTAAAATATTTTATTACTGCCACACATGACAGTATCATTTATGCAAATTATTTTACTCCCTCCAGAGGTATGACAGATGACTTTTTGTCTTGTCTAGTTTCAGGTGGCTATGAGCATTTCTTGGCTTATGGACACATTTCCCACTGTTTTTTTTTTTGGGGGGGGGTCCAGTAGCGGGGCCTGAACTCTGGACCTGGGCGCTGTCCCTCAGCTCTTCAGCTCAAGGCTAGCACTCTACCACTTGAGCAACAACGCCACTTCTGGCTTTTCTTTCTCTTTGCTTATGTGGTGCTGGGGAATCAAACCCAGGGCCTCATGCATGCAAGGCAAGCGCTCTACCACTGAGCCATCTTCCCAGTCCCTCCCTCTGTTTTTATGTTACTTTCTACTCCTTATTCCTAATCTTCTGCCTTTCTCTAAATATGTCTATGGTGATATAGAGTTATACATAACACCATCTAGATTATTTTAGAATAATGTTGCCATCTCAAGATCTCTAATATAATTTTCTGTAAGACATGTTTTCCAAATACAGTAACATACAAAAGCTGTTTTTGGAAGCCACATTCAGCTCACTATAATCTGCCCTCTGGCCTCCCCAAATCTTGGTCTGACCCATGTGTAAGATACATTCATCCTATTCCAATATTCTCATCTCAACCCATTATAACCCCAACTTTATGTCTGAAATCTCATCTAAGTATCATTAGTTCCAAAGTTCCAAATTTCATTATCTAGATTATCTAAATCAAGTATAAGTAAAACTGTGTATCATTATTCTTGGGACAATATACATCTCCACTTACAAACTAACCACTAAAACAAGGAAAAGGAAATTTTTCTTCCAAAATAGCAAGAGTGGGCTCAGCATGGGAATTTTTCATCCATATTTCATAAAGGAGATAATAAAAAAAAGAAAGGAGTCAGCTGACATAATCAGTTAAAAAAAAGTAGTCAAACAAATTCTTCATGGGCTTCAAGGCCGGGCCAGAGTTCTGTATCTCTTGACTCTTAACATTTGGATCTCCAGATCTTTCCTCTTAGACAGTGGACTGGGCCTTAGTCTCTGTACTCCTGACTCACACCTGCATCTCTGCTCAGAGATGCCTGGGCCTCTACTTTGCACCCTTACCACTGCCCTTTTGATGATTGTTTAACTTGGAGAGTAACTTATGGTTGCCTCGCACTAGATGAAGTCTATTTTCAGCTTGAAGAATTTTAGTAAACTAATAGCTTGGTCTTTCTATTTTATTTTTTCTGGTCCTGGGGCTTGAACTCAGGACCCAGGCACTGACCCTGAGCCTCTTTGTGCTCAAGGCTAGTGCTCTACCACTTGAGCCATAGTGCCGCTATTTTGATCTTCTTGTCCGATCTCATTTTTAGGCCAAATTAGGAATATTTCTGCTGATAAAACAGTCTCAAAAAACTAGTGGGTTTTTGAGTCACATGTTTTGATTCACCATGTAATTCACATCTTTAGAAAAGAGGGGCCTCACAGACCTTTTCTGGATAATCTCATCTCTGTCCTTGGTTTCTGTTGAGATCATTGAGAGAATCCATGAATCTCTCTCTGCCTAATCTCTTCAGCACTAACCAAAGATGGTCCACCTTGGCCTTATCTCCACAACATACTTTTCTAACAATGAATCTCCTAATTTTACTAATAGGGTCTAAAATTCCCAAATCATTTCCTTTGGCTTGTGAATTTTCTTGCTTCCTTGTCTTCACATCATTCACCCCTGTGTGTTTTTAATCTACCTCTACTTCTTGCTTAGGACAAGTATGAGGGCATGTAGGACTCACCCAGATTACCTATGCTAATCTCCCCATTTTATATTTTCAAAGACTTTTTTGTCCATATAGATAATTTTACAGATTCTGTGTAAAGATTTTTTAGGGATTACCATTGAATCACTACAATAGTCATTGCACATAAATATATATGTTTGAAAATATGCCCTTGGTGCTCATGCAAAATCTAAGATTGTCTCTAAAAGCTGTTATCTGCACACACTACTGTATGCTTTGTTGTTTAATAGGCCAAATAAAAAGTGTGTTTGAAATTTTGCTTAGTATTTTTGCCACTATGGCCAATTAGATTGAAAAAATCAGTCTTTACACTGTGTATCTCTTCTGCCCCTTTTATAGAGTCTTTTACCAAATATCTTCTATGATTCATATTGTAGGTACATAACTACCTCCAACACAGAAGATTCTTTACAAGCTTAATTTAGACATTGTGAATCCCTCAGCTGAAGAACAAGGTGAAAAAAAAACAGCATTGAATAGCTAGTGAGGGAGATTGTGACCATATCAAACAACCTTCACAAAGCATTTCAGTAGCAGTGAAACTGTAGATTTGTGCTCTCATTTTGCCTTGGAATAAACACTTGCCTCTAAGCAGAATCAAGAATCACTTGTAATCTTTATGTCATGCCTACTAATTCAATAAAATTTAGATATGCATTAAGTGTTGTGCTTCCTGTGATAATTATTCAGGATTAATGAAATGGCATGAACTAGGAAATGTTAACAAGATGTGCAAACTTTCTACAAGGAGCTTTGATTTAAAAGAAGTTTAAGATTGTTTTCATTAGAATTTGGTCTTTGAATAGGACATACTCAAAGATTCATATTGTATGAATCATGTGGTCTTCCTTTAGTATTCTTTCCCATTGCTTGCCAGAGGAGTAGAGAGCTGTATGTATAGCTAAAAAATATAGAAACGTCAGAAGGGTGATTTATCTGCCTCAGAGAAACTGTTTTTATGGAAAAAATTTATTTGAGTATAGCACTAAAACAAACAGGCTTCAAATGTTCAGAGGAGTAAATATCTGGAATAAGTAATGGAAAGTTGTAGGTTTACTATTCTCTGGAGAGCTTTCATCATCAGTGGGCCGACTTGATGATCAGCACTTTGACAGTGTAATAACTGGGTCTATAACTGATATGATCCCAAATCCGCCAAATTCATTATTTCCTTTGGAATAGTTTGTACCAGCAATCAAATACATTCATTTTTTTCTACCCCTTCTTCCCTCTGAGACTTAAATATGTGAAATCCTCAGTAGAAAGTGTAGAAACAGTATCTACAACTTGGAGAATTTAAGCTTAATTGCAGGAGTCCAAAGGCTGAATTTCTAGAAATTGATATATATGCAATGTATGTAGCATGCTATATGTTTGATTTATAATCAAAAGAAAGCTATATACAAAAGTGCTATTTACAGAAAATTTATATGTCTATAGTCACAATAGCCAAAAATGAAATATTATTACACTGAAAGGGGGATATAACTTGTAAATACATAGATTATGCAAATCAAAACTTTGTCCCTAATTATTGGAAATTAGCTGAGATAATATTTTCAGCTATATCTTGTCAAATTGAAGTTCAGCCAACATTTCTACCTCTAGATGCTCATGAGCAAAGTATAAGATTTATTAGACAAAAAAATCCTAAAAGCTGGGCACTGGTGGCTCACACATGTAATCCTAGCTGCTCAGGAGGCTGAGATCTGAGGATCACGGTTCAAAGCCTGCCCTGGCAGGAAAGACCATGAGACTCCTATCCCCAATAACCCACCAGAAAATTGGAAGTGGTGCTGTGGCTCAAGTGGTAGAGTGCTCGCCTTGAGCTGAAGAGCTGAGGGACAGCGCCCAGGCCCAGAGTTCAAGCCCCACGACTGACAAAGATAAATAAATAAAAAATATCCTAAATATCATAAAACCACAGCTTCTCTACTTTGCTAAAGCTTTCTCAGCCTTACTATCAATGTGGCTGTTCAAGTTACTGCATACCCACTCAAAGAAGCTGTTTGTTTTTTTTTTAATATGGTATGGATAATAACCACAGAAGTTACATAGAAACATGTTACTTTTCATCTTAGATGAGGTAGAAAGAAGGTATCAATGTAGATTCATTGAAGAGATGGCACTTGAAATTTAAAATGTAAGTACATTTGGATGTGTGATGATTTTATTCATATGGTCAATATTTACTTCACACATACTGTGTGCCATATTCAGTCCTAGACTCCGAAAATATAACACTTGAACAATTTAACTAGAGTGTAGGCTCCATGAAAAATTAGCATGATAGGGAAACGCTGAAAGGTTTTCTACAAATACAAACCTGAAATATTTCAGATACAAGTCCTTAGTGTTCTGTGTATGACAGATAAAGAAATAAGAGATCTTAGAAGGCCACCTTTGTTAGAAGCTATTTCAGTAGTACTTCTGGCAAATAAACCCATGCTGGGGTGGCAGTGGTGAGTCAGATCCAGGTGATATTTAAAGAACTAACAACTAATTGGTTGTTGAGGGCATGAGGAAATGAAGGAGTCAAATATGACACTGAGGTTTCAGACCTGATTAGCTATCTTCAATAGAAAACTTGAACAAAGAAGAATTTATCTTTTCAGTGGTACATTGGATAGGTACAGCCTCAGTTTGGATACTTGGTAGGATCTTACTGTGTGGTGTGGTGGTGGTGGTGGTGTGTGTGTGAATGTATGGTTGAATGGTTCATATAAGTCTTACATACAAGTAGCATCAAATCATAGAGACATAGAACAGACAAGATAACTCATTCAGTAATATGATAGTGATTATAACAATAAGATCAAGGGTAAGTTCTCTAGGTTTTTGCTTACTTTTCGTTTTTCTTTTCCCATTTTCTTCCCTTGCTTTTTGTTTTCCTTTTATTTCTTCTAGTACTAGGTATTAAACTCAGGACCCTGCACTTGCTAGGAAAACAACCACTTAAGTCATACCCATAGCTCTTTTTACTTTAATTTGTTACATAATAACTTTGCTTGGGCTGGCCTTGAACTTTGATCTAGGAATTTCTGCCTCTTGAGTAAACAGGAACCTGGGAAAGTTCCACTATATTCCACTTGTTTTTGAGATAAGGTCTCAGTGGGCTTTTGTTTGTTTTACCATATGGGCTTAAACCATGATTCTCCTGTTTCTACCAACAAAGTAGCTGCACAAATCACTATACTTACCCTCTTTTCATTTCTTTTCAATAATACAGAGAGAGAAAATGAGGTGAATTCAAAGAAGAAACTGACAAACACTGAGTGGACATAAAATGTTCGGTCTTAGTTTAGTCTTATACTGACAGGAAAGTAAGACATTTACATGAAGTGTAATTTATGAGAA